TATATTATAATATAATTAATTTCTAAATTTTGAATTAAACTTTAATTAAAAAAATAATATCATTTAATATATGATTCTAATTTATTGATTCTAATTTATAATGAGAGTTAAAACTAATATATATTTTCTCCCTTGTATGTATATATATAAAACGTTAAATTTTTAATTTAGTCCCTGAACTATTATATAAACTTTTAATTTGGTCCCTAAACTAAAAAATCTCTAATTTGGTCCCTAAATTATTGTACAAACCTCAATTTGGTCCTTACTGTTTATCAATTTGCCCCAAATTAGTTCTTTCGTATAAAAAAAGCTGACATGTCTAGTATTTAACGACGAAAAATAGTAACTTAACGGTAGAAAATAGTAACTTAACGGCCATGTGTCACGTTAATAACGAAACACGTCAACTGTTTTTGTATAGAATAATCAACTTGGGGCAAATTGGTAAACGGTAGGGACCAAATTGGGGATCTGTACAATAGTTTAGGGATCAAATTAAGGATTTTTTTAATTTATGGACCAAATCGAAGGTCTGTATGATAGTTTAGGTATCAAATTGAAGATTTAACCTATATAAAATAAAAAGTCATATCACGATAGAGATATTGTAAGATGTAAGTCATATCATTAAGAGATATAACTAATATAATTATGAGAGTAAATTTTAAATTTTAAATTATATGTATTTTTTATTTTCCCGTGCTTTAATTTCTTTTATGTGGTATCAAAACTGTTGAAAGCATGAGATGCTGATTTCTTTTATCGATTCTGCAATCCTTTTTTTATTTTTTTTTCTCTTTCCATTAGTCAAATATGATATATAAAAATATATACTTCATGTTATTCTATTGCTTCAAAGTACAACATTACGTCGATACTTATTAGTCAAAAGGACCATGATGTGTGTGCATATTAGTCAAAAGGACCATTACGTGTGTGCATCCGGATGTAACACCGGCTGTGTACACTCCATATAAAAAAAAAAAATTAAATCGGGTGTTGGATCATTTTTTTTTTTAATGGAGAGTGTGTATACCCGGGTGTTTAACCTGAGTGTGTACGCATCATTTTCTTAGTAAAAAACATTTAATTTCTTTGGTTTCTGTTTAATATGTAATTTGTTCATTTCTTTTTCAGTTGTGCTGCAACTCCATCTTATGTATTGATATCGAATTTACAAGACGTACCTTTGCTTAATTAGATTTGAAAAGGAGAAATCAGTGAAAAAGCACAAAATATCGAATTATTTCTCCTGTAAGTTCCTCAAATGAAATTCTTACATAATCTTCTTGTACATTTCATTTTCACCATGTACATATCTGCTCATGTAACATTGTTCTGCATGTTTTTCTGTGTCTCAGAATTCAATTGTGTTTGCAATCTTTCCCTCTGTGTCCAATCATAATGGCTGAAATCGCCCTCACCATCCTCGGCCCTGTCGTTCAGGAGGCAGTTTCCAAAACAGGTTCATTTCTTAAAAAACGAATTGGAATTGCAGTGGGTTTGGAAAAGGAGCTTGATAGGCTTGGAGATTCTCTCATTCTCATTCAATCTGTCATCCAACACGCAGAGGAAAGGCAAGAAAGTGACCCAGCTATAAGGCATTGGCTACAGAAGCTGAAAGACATAGCTTATGAGGCAGTGGATGCATTGGGTGAGTGCGAGTACAAGATTCTTAAGAACAAAGTTAAGAGTCATAGGCACTGGAATCCTGAGTCCGTATACTTTTCTCCCTTGTTTCGTAATCGTATGGCTGACAAAATCAACAACATTACTAAGCAGTTGAATGACTTGAAAGACTGGGCTAGCATGATCAACTTGGTGGTCTCATTGAGAGGCCAGACTTGTCCGAGGCAACATCAAAAGACAGATTCTTTTCCTGATAATTCCACAGTATTCAAAAGGGAAGCTGATGTCTCAAGAATTCTTAGCTTGTTGCGTGACTTGAGAAGGAGTCAACATCCCATCTCTGGCATTTCTATTGTAGGTATGGCTGGGATTGGAAAGACAACAATAGCAAAATCAGTATACATGAAAGCAAAGAAAGAAAAGCTCTATGATCTAGTGGCCTGGGTGTGTGTATCCGAGGACTTTAATGATCAAATCATTTTGCAACAGATGTCAGAGCACTTTGGTTGTAGTGCTGTTCCAAGGAATAATATTAATGCATTGCTTGAAGATCTTGCAAAAAAATTAGAGAATAAAACTTTTCTTCTCATTCTTGATGATGTATGGAATGAAGATCCTTACAAGGGGGAACACTTCAGCTCTTGTTTGTTAAAAATTCTGAAAACTACTGGGAGCTCTATTGTCATAACAACTCATAGTGGAAAGGTAGCATCTGCGATGCAGTCAGTTCCTATGCAAAACTATGACATGGGGAGGTTATCAGATGATGTTTGCTGGTTGATAATAAAAGAGAAATTTCTTAGATCATTCACAGAAACTTCAATGACTCCTGATTTGGAAGCTATTGGACAGGATATAGCAAAAAAATGTGGAGGTTTGCCATTAGTTGCTAGTGTCATTGGAGGAACGTTGAGCCGTCGAACTAGTGCAGATGAATGGAAGGATATCAGAGATGATAAAGCATGGAATTTGAATTCACGAGATGGACATAAGATTTTATCTATTCTGAAAATAAGTTTCAATCATTTGACTTCTCCTTTGAAAAAATGCTTTTCTTACTGTTCAATTTTTCCAAAGGATTTTATCATTGAAAAAGATGATCTAGTTCAACTCTGGATGGCCCAGGGGTTTCTTTACCAACCTAATGAAAGCTTTGTGACAATGGAGGATGTTGGTAATGATTACTTTAGTGATTTGTTATCTAACTCCTTATTTCAAGATGTGAACAAGGATGAATATGGGAATATCAGATCTTGCAAGATGCATGATACAGTGCATGATTTAGCGCTGTCTGTCTCACAAGGTGACACTTTTGTCTGGGAGACTGGTTGCATAATTGACCAGGATGCTAAAATTCGACATTTAAGAGTTAAGCATGGCAAGAACGAGCGTCCAATCATTCCAAGAGGTGTTGCTCAAAGATTGCATTCCTTGTTCTTGGATGAGGTTGATGTTTTCATTTCCAGTGCATCTGATCTCAAAAGCTTGCGAGCTTTAAAAATAGTGGGAGCTGAGGGAGAACAGTTGCCCATTATTCTTTGCAAATTGAAGCACTTGAAATACCTTGACCTCTCAAGCAGCAATATAAAAGCACTACCAAAATCCTTTTTCAAACTCTACAAATTGCAGACTTTTAGACTTATGTGGTGCTATTCTCTGCGCATGTCTGATGAGATGAGAAATTTGATCAGCTTAAGACATTTTTATTTTACCAACGAAAAGCTGATGCCAAGAGATATTGGGCATTTAACTTCCCTACAAACCTTACCATTATTTGTTGTGAGTAGGGCAAACTTAGACCAACTTGGATGCCTAAGTCAACTTGGAGGAGCATTGAAAATATGCGACCTTGAATTTGCCAGAGCTATGTCAGAAGCCGTCAAAGCAAACTTGGACAAGAAGACAAAATTGTATGAGTTGGAAGTTGCATGGAATAGAGAAAATGAAGACCACAGCAATTATGAGGTTTTGGAAGGTCTAAGGCCTCCCTCAAGTTTGAAACACTTGACAATTGAAGGTTATGAGGGAGAAAAGTTTCCCTCGTGGCTTGAGATGGGTGTTCAATTTTTTGGCGATTCCTCTCCACTGGACAATCTTTTGACTTTGAAGTTATATAACTGCAATGAATGTGTAGAGATTCTGAGTTTGGGATTTATACCTAAGCTTGAGGATCTTGAAATAGAAGGAATGTCAAAGGTGAAACGTATGGGCAGCAAGTTTTGTCTTGATGGCAGCAACATGACAAGTAGTAGTTGTGGTGACAAAAAATCAATCATATTGTTCCCAGCTTTGAAAAAACTCAATATATGGGACATGGAAATCCTAGAGGAATGGGCAGAAATAGAAGGCACCACCACATTTCCTTGCCTTGAGGCTTTGTCTGTTGGAAATCTTCCGAAGTTAAAGACCTGGTCAATGAGTGGATTTTCATCTCATCATAAGCTCTCATCTGCCGATATACATGATTGTCCGATCCTGGTGACTCTTCCAAGTATGGAACGGCTCTTATCTCTTGAAAGTTTGAACTTAACCAATTTAGGATCTCTCCCAAGTGGGCTGGGCTCCTGCAGCTCTCTAGAGTATTTGGGCCTTGAACACTGCTTTATGTCCTCTCTGAGCATGAAGGAGATGATCTATCCTCGAACATTAGAAATTTCTGACTGTGAAGGATTGGTTTGTGTGTCAGGGCTGGAATCCTGCATCTCTCTCGAAGAGTTGACTATTGTCCATTGTGACAATCTAATTTCTATTTCAGAAGATGTTGGAAGATCAAGTTCGCTTACTCTTTTGAAGATTACTAGTTGCGAAAATCTAAGGAGCATTCCAGAGGGGTGGCTGGGTAGGAATACCAGGTTGGAGGAGTTAGAAATCGGTCCTTTCTGGTCAGAGTTGGAGGAATATCCAGGACTCACTTCCATCCATCAACTCCACGCCTCCCTTAAATCTTTGACACTATGGGGATGGGATAAACTAAAGTCTCTGCCACATCAGCTTCAACATCTCACTGCCCTCAAGCAATTGACATTGGAGAACTTCAATGGCCTGGAAGCTTTGCCAGAGTGGTTGGGAGACCTCTCTTCTCTTCATAACCTGCAGATTTCGCATTGCTTTAATTTGATTCATCTGCCTTCTATTGAAGCCATGCGACGCCTCTCCAACTTACAATCTCTTGAAATTTGGGGTTGTCCCAAATTAGAAGAAAGATGCGCCAAAGAGAGCGGCCCCGAATGGGCCAAGATTTCCCACATTCCCAACATCAGAATAAGTTTCGTGTACCTGCAGCGGCATTTTTCTAACATTGTATGTATGCAACAGCCTGTAAGAGACAAACCTGAAGAACTCGGCATGCCAGCATACATAGAAACAGAGGATGAATTGCCATTTAGTGTCGAAAGATACACCAGTATAAGTTCTAGGCAAGGTGGAGAAATGCTGACAGAGATACCAGAAGGAGACGAATGGATTGCTCCAAATATCTGTGCAACTGTTTGTAAACCTGTACTCCCAGAATCTCCAAACTGCCCATTTCTGGTTGCCCTGTCCTTGGAAGGAAGCAAAGCTCTAATGGCTATCCCTTCGTCGTTCTTCGTGCACATGCCTGTCCTGACACGCTTGAATTTGTCTCGTACTAGTATCAGATCTTTGCCTGTGTCTCTTTTCAATTTGGTTTCACTTAAGGAACTCAGTTTGAGGCACTGCAAACTCTTCATGGAATTGTCACCACAAGTTGGACAACTTTATAATCTTGTTTTGCTTGATCTTGATGAGACTCAGATTGCGGAATTGCCAAAGGAGATTGGAAAACTTTCCAATCTAAAAATTTTGAGATTATCTCTTAACGGATACATGAACTGTGGAAAGCAATTGCAGCAAAATGTATTAATTCATCCTGGGACCATTAAAAGGCTCTCGCAGTTGATGGAATTAAAAATTGATGTGAATCGGGATAATGAGGACTGGAATGCAGTTGAGGAAGTTGTTGTAGAGGAAGCCTGTAGCCTGGAAAGATTGGAGCTTCTCATATTATACCTGCCAAATGTTCAGATTTTGGGAAAACGCAGAACAGGTAGCACATCACTCAGCTATTATCCCTTGTGTAGATTCAAGTATACTGTTGGGCAGCATAGACAGCCTATCATCTCTCGAGTACCAGAAAAAGTTGAAACTCAATTTCAAGAGTGGGGCAAATGCTTGAAATTTGTCAAGGGCAATGATATCTCAAGTGAGATGAAAAGGGTACTTGGATGCACAAAAGCATTCTACCTTGAACGTCATGCCACTGCTAGAAGCTTGTGTGATTTTGGGATTAAAAATATGAAGAACCTAAAGTTCTGCTTATTGGCAGAATGTAATGAAATCCAAACCATCATAGATGAAGGAAAGTCTTATGAAGAAGAAAAAATTGATATAGTTGAAGGTGAGGTGATCGATTGTGAGTCTGTAGTTGAGGCATATTCTGCTCAAGAACATGTAGTTTTGAATCTACAGCACTTGCATATCTATTACCTGAAGAATTTAGCGAGCATTTGGAGAAGCCCCACCTATGATAAGCGGTGTCTATCTGGCTTGAAGGTCCTAGAACTCCATGTGTGCCCCAAATTGAGTGTCATTTTCTCACCAGCTTTGCTCACAAATCTTGGCAAGTTGGAGGTGCTTGTAGTTGAAGACTGCCCTGAATTGACCAGTGTTGTAAGCCCAACAAGCAATGCATCCTTTGAGTTTGCACTAGATTGTTTTCTGCCTAGCTTGAAGATGATGCTACTTCTTTTCCTTCCAAAATTGGAAAGCATTTCTAGTGACTTTCACATTGCACCAAAACTGGAAAAGATGGGATTTTATGATTGCCCAGAGCTTAAGAGTCTTTCTAAAAGGGAAATGTCAAGTGAAAATTTGAAAGTGATCAAAGGAGAAAGGGAGTGGTGGGAAGCATTGGAATGGGAAGAGTCAGAGTGGAAAAGTCAGCCCGATTATCTCCATAGCATTTTCTCCCCAATTGATGAAGACGATGATGTGATGACACAAATGCAAGAGATGTGTGACTATGGGTCCATTACTAGTCAGGGGATAGTAGAGCAAGTGGCAGGGTCCACCAGCTTTCCCCTGGATAATGGTGCCGGGTTGGTTAGAACCTCAACCCAGTGTTCTCCCCTCCCTGCCCTGTAAAGCAATAAACAAACATACAGAACCAGGACGTCCGTGGTTTTGGTTCCTCAGATATTGGATGAAGTCATAGAGGCAGTCCTGAATTTAAGCCTCTGAATTTATAATTATATGTTGTGACCTAGACCAACTACTGAATATTGAGGACATATTTTTAACTAAATTCTAATGTCGCGAGTATTTGCAAGATCGGCTTTATATAGCTGTGTAAATGTTGTTGCTTTCATTCTAATGGCCACAGGCACTCCATTCTCCACATTCTAAAAGATTTTATGTCAAACTTATGCTGATTTCATTTTGGTTATCATAAATTTCAAAGTTTAATGATTTTGCACGTTATCAATTTTGCTAGTTTGGTGTTGATATCAAATGAGTAAAATAGTGATGTTTTCTGGATTCTATATTTATGCAATCCCTTCTAATCCAGTAGCAGGGGAGGGCCTAGGGACTAAACCTATGTTTGAAGGGATTTTGTTGCTAATGTCTTGCGGTTGAACGCCGAATTTTAAGCAAATTAAGGTCACTTTTATTATACCTATCCAATTTTAAGATAAAAAGGATGGAAAATGCTATATTATGTCAAAACTGTTAAATAAAACTGTCGCCGGCCTCTGCCGGCATACTCTCCGCCGTTTCTCTTATTTTCTCACTGTCCGTCACCCCAGCTTTTGCTACTATAGCCGCCACGTTCCGTCGTCCAGATCCAGCTGGACATTTCCTCTCTTCCACCTTACCTTCCTTTGCCGACGGTAAGAGCAACCGATCGAGTGGGATCGAAATCTTTTGAAAATTCGGTGCTTTTGGTTAGCTTGAACCGTGCTGGTGATTGTCATTCTTTTCTATTTAAAGTGTGGAAACTTGGGAGTCTCATTGTTATTGTATTGATATGATTGTTGAATTTCGTAGGACAATATGCGGAGGCACGGAAGAGCTTGTGTGGTGGTTCTAGGAGACTTTTGTCGCAGTCCTCGGATGCAGTATCACGCCCTGTCGCTCGCCCATCAGTTATTCTTTTCAACCTTCCATTCTTAGTTAGTTGTATTGACGTAAATCGAAGTATTATTTTTCATATTTTGAGCTCAATCTTTCTTCCAATGATGTTGCAGGAATCTTTGGAGGTGGACATTGTTGCTTATGGAGGTATACCTTTCTATAAGAAGAGCGAGTTACATTAAATTTTTTATCACTAGATGCTTCCAAGTTTTTAGTTTGTCCTTGTTAACATTTTCAGTAAATGTCAGCACAATGGATATCCGTAAGAAAATGTTCCATCATATCATTATAGAAAGGACAGAGCTTGGGACTCTAGTTTGTAGATCTCAGGTGTGTAGAGATTTGGGAAAAGGGGAGGGTTATCACCTCTTGTCTAGCCCATCATCAGATGTACCAAAGAGGAATCATGAAGAGTATGAGTTGCTGTTCTATGGTGTCTGGTATAATTGGAAATTATACTTTAATCGATTGAATTGCAACTTGGGGGGTGGGGGGAGCTTCTGAATGTTGAAGGTTATGGATAGAGTGTAGGGGAGAGATACAAGATTGGTAGTATGATATAGCATTTATTGTAGAAACTAAGATAGAGTGAGGCAAGTAATGTGTATGTACTTGCTTGGTTTATTAATGCTAATCCTTTTCTTAAGTTAATACAATATTCCATTGTTGATATCTATTTTAAATTAATTTCTTAAAAATTCCTTCCTGTTAATGAGAAAAGCTTGTATTCTCTTTCTATTTTTTGCATTATAAATTCAATCTTAAATTAATCTATGCTAGAAGGGTTGTGTCTTTATATTCGATGTGTGCAATATGATCTGAAAGCCTTTAGCACTAGATACACCTGACAAATATTGAAAATTGTTATTATTCAGATTTTGGATATGCATCAGAATTTTGTATGTAGACAAAAGTCTTGAATAATAGTTATATATGGTGATTACTGTACTAGTTGGATTGTAAATTTGACTGTTTGGATATGTTCTGAACCACATGCTGCAGTCTGAGAGAATGGATCTATTCATATTCACACAATGGTATTGATGTGGAGAAATCTAGCTACTCTAAGATATATGAGGCTATCAACTTTTATATTTGAATTTCTTTCTTCTCTTTTGCAGAAGCAATGGCTGAAACTCCTTCAAAGCTTACCAACGATACTTTATTCCTTGACACTTCTGCCGAAGCCAATCTTTCAGTTTGTTGTGCTCCTTTGGTTTCTTTGCATTAAAGTTCCTTGCCCTGATGTTTTTATAGTACAGGTGAGTACTTAGAGTTTCATTAGAGTGTACCATTTATCTTAATTGCCAATCTTTTCTGTTGTGCATATGTGTGCAACTGCGCATGTGTTTGTGAGTGCAACTCTACTTGAAACAAGTTTAGTTATCATTTTTAATTTGTGCATAATATAGTGTCGGCCAGCTCTTAACTATGATAACTCATTTTCTGAAATTGATTGAAATTCACTTATCGAACCTTTTGATTTGTCCATATCATATGCCTATTAGATTTATAGAAGAGTTAGAGATGCAAATTCTTTCAGTTATGTGTTCTAGGAAAGAGCATTTGGTGTTATGGATGTGGGCCTTTGAAGCTTTTGCATGTTACCAAGCTGCACGGGCAGAGCTAGGAACAACTGGTTTTGGATGATAACTGAATTTTAACGATGTACAGGCCTGATACAAGGTTTCTGAAAAACAGATAGAATAGCTGGGTTATCATGCTTTCGTCATGAATTGCTGGGCATGGTGTTAATGTCAGCTTAGTACAAGTCCAAGATGGATAAATCAAGCCACTACATATATATTAAATTCTATCTACCAGTTTTGAGATGTCATTTTTTAAGCACCTTATCCCTTTCTCTAAAATGCAGCAGAACATAATCTCAATCTAGCTGTATATTTTCATTTTAGTTATATGTTAAGGAATATTTTCTCTCATTGTTGTTTCATTTTTCATTCTCTTTTTCCGTTTTTTTCCCTTCTGAAAATTGTGTTAAACCTTCATGTATTCTTTTCTTCTGTAGAATCCTCCTTCTGTTCCAACCTTAGTGGCTGTAAAATGGGCAAGCTCATTAAGGCAGTCTGCATTAATTGTTGATTGGCATAATTTTGGATACACCCTTCTTGGCTTGTCCCTGGGATGAAGTAGTCGCTTTGTTTCTGTATATCGTTGGTAGAAGAAAGTTGCCTTTTAATTTCACTCATGTGAAGATGATCAATTTTCTTGTATGATTGATGTCTTTTTCTGATAACATCAGGTTTGAGAAGCATTATGGGAAAAAGGCAAATGGTTTCGTTGTGTGTAACAAGGGCAATGCAACATGAATTAGCACAAAATTGGGGAATTAAGTAAGATGATTAGCTCATGGTTCATGTTTTCTTATGATTAGCTCCCGGTTCATGTTTTCTTTAGTTATGCAGTATTAAATTCTATGATAATTTGTCTAATAATGAGTTCTTGGTTGCCCATGTCAAATTATTAGAGCCACAGTCTTAGATGATCAGCCACCTGTTTTCTTCCTTCCAACTTCACTTGAAGAGAAACATAAGGTGAAATATCTGATCTGGTTTAACTTAAGCTAAATAATTCAGTCAAAGAATTATATCTAAAACATGGTTCCTTAGTTGTTTTGTAGATTGAATGAAAATCGGTGCCATCCTATTGATGTTAGAGATTGTGTGAGAACTGCCAAGTCTTCTTGTAAATAAGTCATCAATTCCCATTGAATTGATTTGCCCTGTGCTGTTTCCCAATGCACATTCTTAATGCAGGAAGTATGGGATTTGGGGATGAAACACTATTTATGACTCATATTGGCAATGATATTTTGTTGAAGCAGAAAAGATCAGCACTTATTGTTAGCAGTACTAGCTGGTAAGGTCATGTTTTTAAATAGGTCCTATAGATTGTGCTTCTTGCCGGCCTATTTTTCAATCTCTGTGTCTTCCAAGCATGTCCATCGGTTATCCTAATTTTGTTAGTTGGGCGCAGCTTTTGCTTGGTCATGCATTGATCTTTTCCTATCAATATAATTAAGTATACTTTTTGCTGGTAGGAATTAACTGGACTTGACTGAGAGTTATTATTATTATTATTATTTTTTATCAACCAACTGGGAGTTAATTAATGTCAATGAAATATGGAATGCCATTGTGGACCAAATTTGGTCTTCCTATTGACTGCTTGTACAGTTATACTTGTTCTCTAATCTGTTCAGCTAACTCCGAATTGTCTCCTAATGATAAGTTTTTCTCTCCAAATTTTCTTTATTGATATTCTCATCACGTGACTATGTTCAGTTGATACTGAACTGTCTTTATTGATAAGTTCTTGTCTCCAAGTTTTGTCTATTGAAGTTCTCATGACACACCCAAACTGCATATTACCTTACCTGAGAAAGTATATTTTCTGATCCATTTTAAGATTAATTCATTTGAATTGAGGAATATGTCTACTGCATGAGATATCTACTATATAATTAAAATCTTTTTGAGGCTGTCAAAACAGTACATTCTATGGAATAATCTTTTTCCAGGACACCAGATGTAGATTTTGGAATTCTGTTGGAAGCAGTGGTTATGTATGATAGGCGTGTTGCTGCGATATTAAATGAGAGTGATTCCACTGATGAAGGGGTTCTTTGGAAGGAGATCTCTGATGGAAAGCAGCTCTTGTATGATTGCATCCAAGGTTATTGTTTATCATTACAGGTAAATCATCTTTGCCCTTGGAGCACCAGCTTTTACATTGACAATGAACACCTCTTGACTTGGAATCTCCAAGTGTTTATTTAGGCAAAGGACCTGAAAAGGAAAAATATGGGGAGAAGATAAGACGTTTAAAGCTCAAATGTGTTGCATTCTGTACGATGTGGTTTTCAGCTGAGGACTACCCATTGCTTCTTGGTAGGTTAAATTTTATCAGTTTTCTTCGGTCTTCTTCAACCCAGCTACTGGTTCTGTGTACTCAATTCTTTCTTTCTTTGCAGGATCGGCAGAACTGGGTGCTTGTCTGCATACTTCCTCATCAGAATTAGACCTTCCTATGAAGGTGTGCTATTTTGTTCCTCTCTAATATACTAATAGGGAAAAGAAAAAATGAAAAAAAAAAGGGAAAAAATTGCAGCAATATGGGCAATCTCTCACTTTCCTGCAATCCTGTCAATTGTCTCTAAAAGTTGGTTGTATTTGCTGATGAGGTCTTTGATATGTTTGGTTGTGGACTACCTGTATGTGCTATTTCCTATTCATGGTAAATCCTGCATCTATTCATACAGGGGATATACTTGAGCACTGCTTCTTCCATTTAATACTAATTTTCCTTCACTAATGCTGCTACTGCTTTGACTTATCTGAAGCATTCAAGAACTTGATAAAGTTGAGAAAAATGGACTACTCTTTGCATCGTCATCAGAGCTTGCCAATGAGTTATTGGTAAGTCATGGCCCTTTAACTATGACAAAAGACATTGTATAATTCATATATTTTTGTAACTTTTTGAATTTTATTTTTAGATTTGTATATATAAAGAAATAGTTAAGCTGTCTGCAAATTCCTGTATGCTAAGGATATTGAATATATTAGCATCTGAATAATGAAAAGATTTAGATGATGATGACTCGTGCATCTTAATACTGATTAGGTATGTGTTGCTTGGATGGTGTAGTGGCTTTTACCTATTTTTTATTTAAAATTAGTTCTATGAATATTGCTATTCTGTTCTCCTGATACGTGGAAGATCTTAAGGATGTTGTTCCTGTAGGCACCGGCTGTGATAATGCTTTTGGCCTTGATGGACATAGACAATAAGAATCTTTAAAAAGACAAGGAAGTTATAAAAGTTTGGGGAAAAAAAATCAAAAGATCTGATTGATGTTCAATTAGCAGGCCATACTAGGGCACTTTGTTGTTATCTTCATTCTTTCTGTATGCTCTACTTGCCTTTTCATACTAAACCTCTGGGGGACATGGCTCATAGCAGTGAGTAGATTAGGTTTTCATTTCAGTTAGGCTATTTATTGGACCATTTTGTGTGGCCAAGTTTGGGTTCATTTCTAATTTACTATAAGGTTTTTTTTTTTTTTTTTGGTAATTATTTACTCTAAGGTTTTGCTTTGGACATAGAAGCCCTTTCAACTATAATATTCAGCATCAAGTTAATTGGTGTCTAATGATGTATAATAATACGACTGGTTTAGCACATTGAAGGTTAAAACTAAAATCATAACAAATAATTGATATTCAGTTTTATACTGTAGTTGGGTTGAGATTTGCTTCTTGAGGACTTTGTGATACCCTTTGCAATTTGTTCTTAGTTTCCTACATTACTTTGCAGATGCTCTTCAAGGGATTTCCTGATGAATGTAATGCTTTGTTGTCTCTAAGAAATGGTGCATTGGAAACGAGCTCCTCAGCTAGGTGGGATACCGAGTGGGAAGAACATGCTAAGCCATTGATATCTGAGGCAAGTTAAATCCTTTTTCTAAAAATAAGTTAATCAATTTAGATTTTTATTTGTGTTATTTTTGCCTCAAGGTCATATATATTGAGCATACGTTTATTTCCTCAGTTCTAGTTAATAATTGGAAAATGATTTCTACATATTTTATAATGAGTTCCAAACAGCAAAGCAGGGGCTATTGGAGGGGGATAGCTCCCAACATCAGGGGGCCCACCTCCATCCAATGGTTAGTGTTATACAGTCGGGACTGTGCAACACTTTTTTGTTTTATAATATAATTCTAGGGGTGAGGCTGGGTGTAATTGGGTCAACTTCTGGTTTAATGAATCTAGGGGTATAAATACTAGCGGAAAACACCTCTAGAGCTTATTGGGTCCCATATTCTTAGAGAGTGGTGAGGCTGGGTGTGATTGGGAACTCCTATTGGGGTGGGAAGAGTGATTAAACCCACAAACCTATTGTAATTGTTGTTGATTATGGTGGTTTTTAGACATTGGCACAATTAGGGGGAACCACACTGGTAATTAAGAACTAAAAGTGTTAATTGTTGAGCTATTCCTCTCTTAGGTTGGCTCATGGATCGTAATGCAAAATAAAATCTACAGCTTAAGAATGAAGAAAATAAAATCGTGATCATAAAAAGTGCCTAAACCGGTTGCCTACATTTTCATGTGCGACTTGTAAATTTGGAGCTACTGAAACCAAAATTCAAGAGTACCAACACTATGTTTGGTGTCTCAAGAATTCTTGTGGGAGATTTTAGCATGTGTTTTCTAGTGAACTAGTGGTTCTTTCCTTTGAGGTTTTTCAATTGAAAATTAGTTCATGCTTTATTTTTCTGAACTTGAAGGGAAATTAGGGAAATAGTTTATTTTCCCAGACATAATATTAGAATTGTAGCTAAGAGGTTTGAAGTGAAATATAAGATAGTAAACCACGTCTGAGTGAAAATTAAATCAGATCAAATAGTTATTTGGACCTTTCATTGGGGAGTAATAATTCACTGGGAAGGGGAAGTTTCTTTTCCTTTATCTTTTCTCATTTCTGCCTCCTTTTTTACAGCTATATGAAGAAAATGAATATGATGTTTCCGCGATATCTCTTCTTCGGTGAAGTTTAATTTTCTTAGCAATGTCCTTTCCTGTTGCTTAGGCGTTCCTTCTTATTTTTTAAATGGTGTGTTTGAAAATCTTGCCTTGAAAACACCCCTTTTCATGTCATATCTATAATTAAAAGTTTTTTAAAATATAATAGTCTTAATTAATAAAAAAAATATTATATTTTTAATTAATAAATTCTTAAGAAGTTATATTTTTATTTGTACCAAATCTCTTTTATGACAAATATTTTTTCAGGTTTAAATTTTAGTAGGTTTAGTTTTTTTAATAAAATAATAATTTAATAATTAATTAATTAATTTCATATTTTTTAATTAATTATTACTTAAATAAATTTTTTAATGTATATTATAATTATATTTTTAAAATAAAAGTAAAATATGAATAATTATATTAAATAACATTTTAAAAATAAAAAATAATTAAAGATATGTTTAATCGAGGAGAGAGAAAAATATTTCTTTATTAAATTACCAAAAAAAATTGAAGAGGAAAAAAAGGGGAGGGAATGAAAGGTATGCCCCAAGTTTTATAACATATTATCATAATTCCTGTATTGGATATTCTTCAATTTCTCCTCGTTTCCCTATCCTTCTCTCTATTCTCCTCGCACCTTTGTGGGGTTACAATTACTTTGAAAAGTATAATAAAATAATATTTAAAAATTTAAAATTTAAAATTTGACTATTTTATTTTTTGTTTTTTAATTATACTAATTCAAAAAATAGATGGCCCAAATGATGAAATAAAGAAGTGATAAAGCTGGAGGTTGTCACTGTCACCTGGCATCGAAAGGTGCATAACACAATTTTTTTGAAAATAGGTAATGAAGGTGCATAACACAATTGAAATGCGGACAGCTTGTACATTTTTTCTTTGCCTTCGGGAACACGTTGGTTGACCAAAATTGCTGAAGAGAAAAAGCAAAACCAAGTCCTTGCCATTTGCCAAGAAATTCAAAATACTACGGAAACATCAATTGAAAATCCCATTCGTTTTGCTGGGAATTGGAAAGGAGTAAAGGGGAACGGGGAATTGGTTTAATTGATTAGCCGAAGCATGTTCTCTGGAAGTTTAGGGTGTTTGAATTAAGA